TCTATGGAAGGTGGAGGTGTTGGTCAACAGCATCAGAGAGTGTGAACACTACACGACCCGCAGCCTCACACTGAAGGTAAACAACACACTTCGCCCCTAAAGTCACCTGCCACCTCCAGGTTCAGATTTGACCTTTCACCTCTTGCAGAGGAAGGATCTTTGTGTTTTTATTTTGGGATTCACATTTATGTGTTTGTGCGCAGTGTGGGAATCAAACCCGCGTGCTGCAGCATTACTGGTACACATCGTGGCCCGACCATAAAACCCCTGACTCCACGATGCCGCTGCTGCAGCTGATGGCCGACGTAGAGAGGGACAGACGGACGGCCGGCGCCATGGGGCCGGTCATCGTCCACTGCAGGTAAAAAGAGAAGGAACTGGGAAACCCTTTTTTTTTACATTCTTTTAATGATTCATTTTGACTCCATTACCCACAATCCTCTGCTTGCAGTGCCGGGATTGGCCGGACCGGCTGCTTCATCGCCACGACGATAGGCTGTCGACAGCTGCAGCTGGAGGGAGTGGTCGATGTTCTGAGCATCATCTGCCAGCTCAGAGCGGACAGGTAACACGCAGCAGACGAGGAATCGAACCCATAACCTGTTCTGTCCATAAACACCGCTCTGATTCTAAATATGTTCTGTGTGTGCAGAGGAGGGATGATCCAGACCGGCGAGCAGTACGAGTTTGTCCATCACGCCTTGAGTCTGTACGAAGCCCGCCTCTCTGCAGAAACCGGCCAATGAGCACGCACCACCACCACAGGACGTGTCGACTCCAACCAGGAAGTGTGCAAACAAAGCTAACCTTCTCCGGGGTCACGGACAAACCCGCGGAGGTTTTTTTTCTTCTAAGTTTGATGGACAACATGGACAACCAATGAAGCGTGTTGTGGGCGGAGCCTGCCGAGTGAAGGCGGGAAGGTAAACTTCTGCAAAAGGAATGTGTCCGTTTTTTCCTTCTTCTGCTGTTTTCTTCTTCGAGGGTTGTTGGCGCGTGAGGAACTGGACACGCCCACTTCACTCGTCTTTACTGACCGTCAAGTCGTTTCGTTTTCGAACCGACCAGACCGCCGCTTTACCTCTTCTCTGTCGTGGACACGTAGAAATAGTCCGACTCAAATGGATGGTACGTTGTTGAATAACGATGTTTTGTTTCTGTGTCTTATAGGATTTTAAAATGATTTCTACGTGGCGTTCTTCTAGGAAAATGACTGTTAGCGAGTTTCACACGTGGTCAAGATACTTTTTATCACCGCTGAGCGAAAACCTCGCCACGCTCCTTTGTGACCTCACTACTCTGTAGCCGCCCCTTTGTTAATACGACGGTGACAATAACAATAGAAGTCCGAGGTTACGATATCCGAAAAAAACTCCTCTGCAACGTTTCTGGCGTTTGTGCCACGTTGACCGTGTTTACGATAACGCAGATTGTAGCGTTTTAAAACGCGTTGTGTCGTTTGAAAACAAGAATTTAACGAGTACAGTTTTTTTCATTTGAAAGATAAAACCATAACTTTGCTCTTTTTCTCGTCTTACAGAGCCGTGAAGTCACAAATGGAGCGACCTTCAGCCATAGACGACATGCTAAGCTACAAGCTAACAAACCAACGTAAGGGTTAATAAGCTCCTGCTAAGCTACTTCCTGTCGTAGCGCTATCTAATAAATGCTAACTCTAGCTTTAGTAGTTCAGTGTTGCTTCCTTGTTAATAAAAAAAGATGCTAGCTTTCTGCACAAGCTAATGCAAATACTAGCAACGCTATGCTAACGCAATATTTTGCTAAACCTCTTCAATACAGTGCTCGTCATGAGGTCGTCACGATACTCTGATATCATTTAAGTGGGTTGATTTTTCTTTTGACACCACAGCAGCAGAAATAGAAGTCATAGAGCCCTGATGTCGGGAATATATTTTATTTAAATGTAAAAAACTGGAGGTAAACTTCCCGACACTTTGCCTTCAAAACAAAAACAAAGAGACATCTCGAGCGTGTTCGTGTAATTCAGACGATGTTCGCCGCCGTTCCTCTTCTTCACGTCTGTGTGGCGTCTGAGGGGGGTCAGCCCTATGTTCCCACATTTCTAGGACATTTTCAAAATGAAGTCTTGTGTTCCTACATTTCACTTCAATTTCAGCCCTGTCCTCCCACGAGATGTTTTGGAAGCACTTTAAAGTAAATGAATGAATGAGTCATTTTATTTAGCTGATTTATATAATCAGCAGCAGAAATCGTCACAATCACAATCATTACAAGAAAAAATAAAATAGGCTGATCGAAAAGCGTTTCAGCTGAAGCAGAACTTAAAAATGCCGAACCCTTGTTTTCCTTTCCTTAAGTCAGACAAACAAAACAAACATATACATGTAATACACTTGTACATACATGTGCACTTACATTAAATGTTTGCAATAAACAAAGAGATGGGCGCACCAGATTTAGCTGAAAGCTACATTCCATCTGTAGACCATCGCTACTGGATAATAGGTTGGGTGTGATTGGCTACCAAATTGGGAGAAAGGGGGATCAAATCTGATAGAAATTTATGAAAAAGGAAATATGGGAACATAGGGACGCTCCCGTCTGAGGAGATAGAGGATGTTTTTTTTAAATAACAAAATGCTCAATGCAAAGCAGCTCGTGAATAAAAACGTAGACAAAACGAGCAAGCAGATCAAAGACAAAATGCCCCGCTAGCTTAAAATCCACTCTGTACTTTCCTTTGGATTCACGGCTGATATAGAATATGTAACTGATTCATATTCATATTGCATATATATTGCATATTGCATATTCACATCTTAGTGAAGACCCTTTTTTTAAACATTGGGCCACATTAGGAAACATTAAGCCGAGTTATCCTGAAATCTAAATCTTGGATATTTAGCGCTGCTTGGTCGTCGAGCTTTGTGTTTGTTTGGTTTTTTGCTTCGACAATTCCTGTTGTGAGAAAATGTTGCTTTATACCAAAAATGTGAAATAATTGACGTCACAATGGTGCGTTCATCTCATCGTTGTGCAGTTGTAATTTATGCTATCTAGTGAGTGAGAAATATTGGTGTATCAAAGTAATAATGAGTTTATTTTTATACCGTTTTTACATGTTTTTGATGTGTTCAGAAGCTGTTCATCATTTGTCCGCTCGCATGAAGGCTTGAAGCCTCACCATCTCTAAACCGACAACATATCAGGAGCTGGAAATTTAGTTTAGACACAAACGGACATCGGACTGTTTACGTGTCCTTTTCTTAATGATGGAGAGAAAATCTGAAGAAGATAAATCAGAGCTGAACTTACGACTTCAACGTGAAAACTTTATTTCTTTAGAAGTCTACAAATGACTTAACGTTGATGATCAATTAAAGATGGAGTCAGCAGCTTTTTACAGAAAGATATAATACAGACTGAGGGAGGAGCTGGTGTGTTTCCTCCAGCCAATGACAACGCAGCAGGAGAGTTTAGAACTGGATACAATTCAGTGATTGGACGAGATTCAAAGCGGTGAATATGACGGACGTGGACGTAGCAGCAAAGAAGAGAAAATATAATGAGAGTGAGGAGAAACACCAAGTGGATAAAGATCGTTCTAAAACGAGGGTGAACCTTGTGTTGGACGTGGAGTTGATCTACTTCCTGTTGGACAGGAAGGTGATGAACACTGGCCGTTAGCTTGTGCTAGCGTCCGTTAGCTTGCAGTGTAGGGATAAGCAGTAATCGTACACACAACATCCAGGGGGTGGGGCTTCTGGGGGAGATGAGCCCAGGAGGAGGGGCCCAGTTTGAATGTTGAGTTTACAAACTGCAGTGAAAAATACTGCTGACTCCATCTTTAAAAAATCAGCAAATACTCAAAAGAAAATATCTGTAATATATCTTAGATTTTTAAATCAAATTGAAAGAAAACGATGAAGTTCATTCTTCATACCTCTAAAATATCTACATTTAAGAGTAAAATACTAAACAATAAGAAAGTTGTGTTTTTGTTTGGCTTGTTGTCTGGTTTTGGAGATGTGAGGTGTCTGCAGTAATGCCAGGAATGAAGAACAAACATCTCTTGGTGTGAGTGAGAACACATCGTGCAGTAAACGTCAAAGTGCTTTTGATTCATAGACCTCAAGCTCGGAGCTCTCGCTGCTAAAACATCGGGATCGCCCGGTGGTCAATGACGGACGATGACCGAGAGAAACTTTGAAGACTCTTCTTCTTTTTTCTATGTAGCAGATTATTTTTTATTCATTCCTCTTCTTGTGATACAATCAAAGGGGCGTGTCTCCGTGTCTACACGCCTCCTGGGACCAACCGGATTTACAAATGCGTCCATCGCCGTCTTCAACGAGTTCATCATTAAAGTTTGATATCGAGTCTTTGGCGAGCCCGGCCTCCACGCCCTCTGCAGCGGCGGGTACACACACACTGCCTCTGACGTAGTATTGTGTCCGTCGGTTGGTTCATGTCCTGTACTCTGTTGTTGTTATTGTTGCCGGTTAAAGGGACGCTACACATTTATACTTCATTAGACATGTGACCTTTTAGACCAACTTAACGTCCTTAAGTCACCGTGTTCAGGATCGCACTTTTCTTCAGGACGATATTTTGCACCGATATTGTAGGCGTAATTTAAATACGATGTTTCCTATAAAAAAAACTTAATATATGTAGAAAAATAAAAACTGAATGAATGTTTTTGTTTTTTTGAGAGCGGTTTGTTTAGGAGAACTTCCCCTGATGGTCGCCATAGTAACTAGCGCCAAAGTACTTTAAAAAAAAAAAAAAATTATGTATTAGGAAAGTATAGACACAGTGAAACTTAAAATCTTAAACCTGCTCATGAGTTACTTTCTTTAAATTCTGAAATAAAAGTTCAGGATTATAAGGCGTCTTGGTGTAAAATGTTAGCGTCCCTTTAAACGTGTGCAGCTCATTCAGAGAACACCTGATGGTAATAAGTGTACGTGGTTTTTCTCTGTATTACTAATCAACTTGAATGTTGTAATAGTCCAGAACATTAGCCACTGAGTAGTGCTGTAACCTCTTTATCTACTCTACCAATATAATGTGACCTATAATCTGTACATAAACACGGGACATCAAACTCTGACTTCTGTTGTCTGGTTTTCATTATAACAGTATATAAACTTCCATCTATCTTCTTCCTCTTATCCGAGGTGGCAGGAGCGCGGTGGATCAAACCGTGGTTCCTAGAAATGGACTTTGTCATAATAAGAGAGAGTGAGACAAAGAGAGAGAGGACGGGAGCAGGAAGGAAGGAAAGAGGTGTGGGGACTAAAAGTAGCTCCGACCGACTGAAACAAAAGCCGTTTGGCCTTTAACATGAAACGCTTCATAATGGAGTCAACTCCAACCTTTTATGGGCCAAATGTAACCTCGGCCGTGTTTACTATGAAGGCATTAACTCCATGCTGTACGAGCGCTAAACAACTTCTGTTTGACCGTGAAGGCGACAGAAGAATTAGACGGCAGGTGAGAGAAAGTTGAACTTTTTTATTAACAAGTGAGATGACGAGAAGAGAGACTCAGGATCCAGTTGGATCAGACCGTGAAGCCAACGCTGAAGTGTAACATCCTGCAGTTCCTGGAGTGTCCACTAGAGGCTGGCTGCAGAAGCACAGGAAGTCACATACACACCCATTCTAAAAAGCCTGTTTTTACAGCAGAGATGAACATGTTTACAGCCTGGTTCAAAAAACCAAATAGGTGTGATTAGCTCATGTCTGGATGGACACACACTGTACGGGGGGTGAATGTTTTGATGACTCATCAGTTTTGATTTGATGAAGGATAAGAGTTATTCACAATAAGGCGTGTAGCTGACCTGATTGACAGGTGGGCGCGGTGTAACGGTTTGTCAGGAGGTTTAAAACCCGCCTCAGCTCCAGCTCTCAGCCTGTCGTTAGGTTGACTGAAAGTTAGACTGAGACAGCATTTCCAGCATGGAGACCGCCATCGATGGGACTCCAGCGCCCCCTGCAGGAACAGACGGGGGACGACACTCAGGCTTAATATTTACAGTTTATGGTAAAATATGCTGATAAACTAGCTTCAACAAAAGAACTGTTCACCTTTCTTTAACTCAATCGGGCTCCTCAGATTCTCGTCTCTCTTGGCTTTTGAACAATTCTCTTTGCAAATTAAATCTATTTGTGAAGAGAACTTTTTTACAACCTTAACACATAAATGTGCTCTTTGTTTTCATCGGTTCTGCCAATGAATTCAGCTAATCATCATCAGCAGCAGAAACAAAAGCACGTGTTGGGATCATGGTGGAGCGAGGACTAAATTTAAACTCCAGAAACTGAGAAATCACGTCAAAATAAACGATTCTGTCTTTCTGTGGGAATTGATCAAACGCTGGTCTCTATTTTTAACACCTCCCTCTGCTGTCGGTGCTCACAGGTGAGCTGCTGGAGTCTCTGAAGGACTATTTTTATCCTCCAGCAGGCCAGCAGGCCAGGTTTGGAGCGGAGCCTCTGCAGTGACTCACAGAGCTGTTGGCTTGATTGAGGAAGTCCGTTAGTGACTCCCATCCTCGACACTATAGACCCCCGAGCGACCGAGGAGAGAGAGACAGACAGGCAGGAAGAGAGACAGACAGATGGTGAGACGGGAGGGATAAACTAAAGGAAAGGCTGAGTTTGAAGTCTGAGAGGGTTGAGTTGACGACGGACGCAAGACGGAGAAGATAGGACGGAACAAACGTGAGGACATTTGGGAGTTATTCTGGATTTATTTACCTGAAAGAGGAAGAACAGACCTGTTTTAACTTCTGACTTTGACTTTTCCAGAAGGACTCGTTCTCCGCTCTGGATATTCTGTGAAATCTTCCTGAAAAAGAAGTGAATGTGACCTCCGCTCTTCTACACCTCAGCCTCAGGATTATGTTGGTGCGTGGTCGCTCTGCGGATCTGAAGGAGGATCAAAATGTTGAAATGTAAAGTTCAAAGTTCTCTCTGCTGCCTGTGTTTCACCTCGCTGCTGCTGCTCCAGGTCAGTCTGCTGTCTCTGATTTATTATTGCTGCATCATTTATAGAGAACATCAAACAAAACGAGGAGCTTTATCACTTCATCTCGCAAAAACAAATCAAGAATAAATCTGATAAAATATGTCTTCACCGCCTTCAGTGTGAAAATATTCTTAGTACTTCCACGTAATGTCAGAAAGTTTATCTTTGACTTTAAGACTTGAACCATCAGGTTCAAGTTTAATGACGTGCATGATTGTTCTGAAAACCAAAGTTTGTCGATGACAGTCAACAAAGAAAAATGAAGAAGAATTATCCGTCTATAGGAGAGAAAACAGGAAAAGGTAAAGCATTGGGACGCTGGTCGACACGGTGGCGATGAACGCCAGCAGAGTCTAGAAACGCCAAGTAGACAAATACTCAGTGGGTGGAGTCAGAAAAGTGCAATGAGAGGCAAAGATGCAACAGGAAATAAAATACCAGAGCTTTATGCAAAGAATAAAGAAATGAAAGTGAAGACCAGATAGTAAGCAGAAGAAATGAGACGTGCGGGGGAGCGCAGCGCTGTGTGTGTGTGTGTGTGTGTGTGAGTGAGAGAGTGTGTGTGTGTGTGTGTGTGTGTGAGAGAGAGTGTGTGTGTGTGAGAGAGTGTGTGTGTGTGTGTGTGTGTGTGTGTGTGAGAGAGTGTGTGTGTGTGCATGACTGACTGTGTGTATGAGGCGCTCCAGCTGTGCTGTGCTTCCTCAATTCACAGACACAGAAAAGAATAAAGTGATCATAGTGCATGAAGGGGTTACGCCCTCATGACAAAGGTTAAAAAAGGCTTCAACTAACATTGGATTATCATGTCCTTGTCATTTGACCTCTGGATGATTGTCTTCGTCTCTGAACTCCCTGAACCTCAGTATCAGCAACAAATAGTTCCACTTCCTGTTCAAGACAAAAAGGTTGACGAGTTCCAATTAACTGTCGCCAACACAACAAAGATCAGAGGTCACTTTATCAGTGGAACCTACAGCGTGATGAAAGCTCACAGATACAGCTCTTTAAATAAATGGAGAGAGGTTAGAGCTGGATAAACACTGAAGCTTCAGTGTCCACCACATGGCAACCTGCCTGAGCATCCACTCTAGAGGGGTGCAGTACCCATTTTAAACACTAGGTGTCAGTTACATATTGACTGCTTCAGGAACGTACTTCTTACACGATGTTTCTGAATTAGAGTTTCTTGATTTAATGAAAGTATTTTTTTTGATCTCTAATTGATGTTTGTTGTCTTTTCAGAGTCTGAGCAGATCAGCTCCCACAGAGAACCAGACCCTCCCCTGTAGTATCTCTGTGTCTGAACCTTTACCTGAGCTGGACTCCATCTCTCTGACCGTGAGCACACCTGGACACGACTGCTCCTTCACCGTGACGTCACCTGACACCGGAGCAGATGGCGCCGAGTGCAGACTGAGAAAGAGGAGAAGAAGAGAAGAAGTGTAGTCGAGGAGACAATGAGATCGCCGTTCAGCAGCGAGGAAAGGGCGAGGTAAGGAGGGTAGGAGGGAACTATCTAGGATCCAACCAGCTAGGAGACGAGGATGGAGGGAACAAGGAGGCAGGAGGTGTTTTCACCTGCATGCTGGATCACCTGGAGCCGGGGACCGCCTACCTGTGCAGGTTCAGTCGCGGAAAGACGGAGAGACGATGAATCAGCTACACACACGTGAGTCCAAAACATTTACTGCACAATACAGTGGTTAGCTCTGACCCCCACAGCGAGGGGTTCCTGGTTTGAATCCCGTACAGGAGTCTCTCTGTGTGGAGGTTCCTGGTTTGAATCCCCGTACAGGAGTCTCTCTGTGAGGAGGTTCATGGTTTGAATCCCCGTCTGTCAGGAGTCTCTCTGTGAGGAGGTTCCTGGTTTGAATCCCCGTCTGACGGGAGTCTCTCTGTGTGGAGGTTCCTGGTTTGAAACCCCGTCTGACAGGAGTCTCTCTGTGTGGAGGTTCCTGGTTTGAATCCCCGTACAGGAGTCTCTCTGTGTGGAGGTTCCTGGTTTGAATCCCGTCTGACAGGAGCCTATCTGTGAGGAGGTTCCTGGTTTGAATCCCCGTACAGGAGTCTCTCTGTGTGGAGGTTCCTGGTTTGAATCCCCGTACAGGAGTCTCTCTGTGTGGAGGTTCCTGGTTTGAATCCCCGTCCTTCAGGAGTCTCTCTGTGAGGAGGTTCCTGGTTTGATCCCCGTCTGACGGGAGTCTCTCTGTGAGGAGGTTCCTGGTTTGAATCCCTGTCTGACAGGAATCTCTCTGTGAGGAGGTTCCTGGTTTGAATCCCCGTCTGACAGGAGCCTATCTGTGAGGAGGTTCCTGGTTTGAATCCCTGTCTGACGGGAGTCTCTCTGTGAGGAGGTTCCTGGTTTGAATCCCCGTACAGGAGTCTCTCTGTGTGGAGGTTCCTGGTTTGAATCCCCGTCCTTCAGGAGTCTCTCTGTGAGGAGGTTCCTGTTTGAATCCCTGGACAGGAGTCTCTCTGTGTGGAGGTTCCTGGTTTGAATCCCCATCTGATGGGAGTCTCTCTGTGTGGAGGTTTCTGGTTTGAATCCCCGTCTGACGGGAGGCTCTCTCTGAGGAGGTTCCTGGTTTGAATCCCCGTCTGTCGGGAGCCCTCTGTGTGGAGGTTCCTGGTTTGAATCCCCGTCTGACAGGAGTCTCTCTGTGAGGAGGTTCCTGGTTTGAATCCCCGTCTGACGGGAGTCTCTCTGTGAGGAGGTTCCTGGTTTGAATCCCCGTCTGACGGGAGCCTCTCTGTGAGGAGGTTCCTAGTTTGAATCCTCGTACAGGAGTCTCTCTGTGTGGAGGTTCCTGGTTTGAATCCCCGTCTGACAGGAGTCTCTCTGTGAGGAGGTTCCTGGTTTGAATCCCGTCTGACAGGAGTCTCTCTGTGAGGAGGTTCCTGGTTTGAATCCCCGTACAGGAGTCTCTCTGTGTGGAGGTTCCTAGTTTGAATCCCCCGTCTGATGGGAGTCTCTCTGTGAGGAGGTTCATGGTTTGAATCCCCGTCTGACAGGAGTCTCTCTGTGTGGAGGTTCCTGGTTTGAAACCCCGTCTGACAGGAGTCTCTCTGTGAGGAGGTTCATGGTTTGAATCCCCGTCTGACAGGAGTCTCTCTGTGAGGAGGTTCCTGGTTTGAATCCCCGTCTGACGGGAGTCTCTCTGTGAGGAGGTTCCTGGTTTGAATCCCTGTCTGACAGGAATCTCTCTGTGAGGAGGTTCCTGGTTTGAATCCCCGTCTGACAGGAGCCTATCTGTGAGGAGGTTCCTGGTTTGAATCCCCGTCTGACGGGAGTCTCTCTGTGAGGAGGTTCCTGGTTTGAATCCCCGTACAGGAGTCTCTCTGTGTGGAGGTTCCTGGTTTGAATCCCCGTCCTTCAGGAGTCTCTCTGTGAGGAGGTTCCTGTTTGAATCCCTGGACAGGAGTCTCTCTGTGTGGAGGTTCCTGGTTTGAATCCCCATCTGATGGGAGTCTCTCTGTGTGGAGGTTTCTGGTTTGAATCCCCGTCTGACGGGAGGCTCTCTCTGAGGAGGTTCCTGGTTTGAATCCCCGTCTGTCGGGAGCCTCTCTGTGTGGAGGTTCCTGGTTTGAATCCCCGTCTGACAGGAGTCTCTCTGTGTGGAGGTTCCTGGTTTGAATCCCCGTCTGACGGGAGTCTCTCTGTGAGGAGGTTCCTGGTTTGAATCCCCGTCTGACGGGAGCCTCTCTGTGAGGAGGTTCCTAGTTTGAATCCTCGTACAGGAGTCTCTCTGTGTGGAGGTTCCTGGTTTGAATCCCGTCTGACAGGAGTCTCTCTGTGAGGAGGTTCCTGGTTTGAATCCCCGTACAGGAGTCTCTCTGTGTGGAGGTTCCTAGTTTGAATCCCCCGTCTGATGGGAGTCTCTCTGTGTGGAGGTTCCTGGTTTGAATCCCTGTCTGACGGGAGGCTCTCTCTGAGGAGGTTCCTGGTTTGAATCCCGTCTGTCGGGAGTCTCTGTGTGGAGGTTCCTGGTTTGAATCCCCGTCTGACGGAGCCTCTCTGTGTGGTGGTTCTGGTTTGAATCCCGTCTGACAGGAGTCTCTCTGTGTGGAGGTTCCTGGTTTGAATCCCCATCTGATGGGAGTCTCTCTGTGTGGAGGTTCCTGGTTTGAATCCCCGTCTGACGGGAGGCTCTCTCTGAGCAAGGTTCCTGGTTTGAATCCCCGTCTGTCAGGAGTCTCTCTGTGTGGAGGCTCCTGGTTTGAATCCCCGTACAGGAGTCTCTCTGTATGGAGGTTCCTGGTTTGAATCCCCGTCTGGCGGGAGGCTCTCTCTGAGGAGGTTCCTGGTTTGAATCCCTGTCTGATGGGAGCCTCTCTGTGGAGGTTCCTGGTTTGAATCCTCGTCTGACAGGAGCCTCTCTGTGAGGAGGTTCCTGGTTTGAATCCCCGTCTGACAGGAGCCTCTCTGTGAGGAGGTTCCTAGTTTGAATCCTCGTACAGGAGTCTCTCTCTGAGGAGGTTCCTGGTTTGAATCCCCCGTCTGACGGGAGCCTCTCTGTGTGGAGGTTCCTGGTTTGAATCCTCGTCTGACAGGAGCCTCTCTGTGAGGAGGTTCCTAGTTTGAATCCTCTTACAGGAGTCTCTCTGTGAGGAGGTTCCTGGTTTGAATCCCCGTCTGATAGGAGTCTCTCTGTGAGGAGCTTCCTGGTTTGAATCCCCGTCTGTCAGGAGTCTCTCTGTGAGGAGGTTCCTGGTTTGAATCCCCGTCTGACAGGAGCCTCTCTGTGAGGAGATTCCTAGTTTGAATCCTCGTACAGGAGTCTCTCTGTGAGGAGGTTCCTGGTTTGAATCCCCGTCTGACAGGAGTCCCTCTGTGAGGAGGTTCCTGGTTTAAATCCCTGTCTGACAGGAGGCTCTCTCTGAGGAGGTTCCTGGTTTGAATCCCCGTCTGACGGCAGTCTCTCTGTGTGGAGGTTCCTGGTTTGAATCCCCGTCTGACGGGAGCCTCTCTGTGTGGAGGTTCTGGTTTGAATCCCCGTCTGACGGGAGTCTCTCTGTGAGGAGGTTCCTGGTTGAATCCCCGTCCTTCAGGAGTCTCTCTGTGTGGAGGTTCTGTTTGAATCCCCGTCCTTCAGGAGCCTCTCTGTGAGGAGGTTCCTGGTTTGAATCCCGTCCTTCAGGAGTCTCTCTGTGAGGAGGTTCCTGGTTGACTCCCGTCTGTCGGAGTCTCTCTGTGAGGAGGTTCCTGGTTTGAATCCCCGTCTGTCGGAGTCTCTCTGTGAGGAGGTTCTGGTTTGAATCCCGTCTGTCGGGAGCCTCTCTGTGAGGAGGTTCCTGGTTTTGAATCCCCGTCTGTCTCTAGATGTCAGCTCTGTGATTGGCTGGTGAACCAGTCCAGTCTCACCCTATGATAGCTGGGATCTGTGGTTTAGATAATGGATGGAAGTTTAATTTACAGTTTCAGAATGAAGACTTCAACAGATTGTTTTTATATCAGAGATCTTTAAAAGTTTAAAAGTCTTTCAACAATATTTGGTCAAATATTCAATTGTGTTTTGTTCTATTGTTTGGCCTCCTGTGACCTCTCGTGTTTTGAAGTACAAGAACGTGACGCGACCTCCATGTTGTGTTGAGCCTTTGTGTGTGTGTGTGTGTGTCTCACAGTTAATGTCATGTAGCTTCCCCTCTCTGCAGCTCTGTGATTAGCTACAGGAACAACAGTCCTGCTGAGAGAGAGTGATAGAGCTGTGTGTGTGTGTGTGTGTGTGTGTGTGTGTGTGTG